GAAATGCAATAGCCATTTTTTGTACGCAGTCAAATATTTTCCTTAAGTAATAACAAATTTTGAAAAAATAAAATAACAAAGAATAAAGATGAAACATACGTTTTTATATTTGATCTTTAATTGGAATTAATTTCTTATTTATTTGTAAATTAATTTCTTATTTATTAGAAGGTCGAATGGTACTTTAAATCTATAAGAATAAAATTTAATTAATAAGGTTAAAATATGTCTTGCACATATTTAAATGACCCTTTTAGAAAATCTTTGTGTATAAAAATATGATCTAAAGGGATGAATAAAAATGCCAATTTTTTTTATCATTGAAAGCCCAGACGACTCACTGAATAATGGAAGTATAAGTTTGTTATCAGGCACCCCCACTCCACCTGAACTTAACCTGACTTTTTTAAAACTATATTTTATCATAATATATATATATATATATATATGTGTGTGTGTGTGTGTGTGTGTGTGTTAAACTAAATAACGAGATATTAGCAACTGTATATGCGTGCGATAGCGTGCATACGCAGATAAGCAAATAAATATTTATTTAATTTAATTTGTGGTGCAAACAATATATATATATATATATATATATATATATATATAGTGTGTGGGTGAATAAGGTCGGATGAGAATCCGATGGAATGGTAAATAAAGCAATTCAGAAAATTTTTATTTTGATGTTTCCCTGATGAATCAGCATCCAAAAATGAAATAAAATAATTTCATAAGAACGTAAAACTTGAAGAAAATTACACTGAAATAAAATAAAGAAAGAAATAAAGAACTGCAATTAAAATCTAATTTCTGTAACGACACAGTTAAGTAAAAATCGGGCGTTTAGACACTTAACGTAAATCGCGTGTATTGTTAATGTAGATTTTTTCTTGTGAAATCAGAGATTCATTCCTTTTTTTGATAGAAAAATTTGAGAAGCAAAAACAATACTTTTTTCACTCAATCCAAATCGAACTGAAAACCAATGCAATGTATTATTTGTATCACTAATTTTATATAATGTTCAATTGATTTATTTTTATATAATATTTATTATTTTTAATATTTTCATCGGGATATTCAAACTCTTTTTGGGAAATTATATATATATATATATATATATGACGCCGGATAATCGGCGAAACAAGTAATTTGTTTTATAATTGTTATATATAATTTGTATAATGCCATTACATTTCCGTTTGATTCTCATCCAACTTTACTTATGCATCATATATACAGACATATCTACCTATCATGCTACCTGGCTAATATAAGTGAACGACGAACAACAAATATACTTCAGAAACTCAATCTCATAATCGATCTTTCGACACTCTATAAATCTATTCTTTCAGTGAACTTCAATATGTTTTGATTCCACTGCATTTAAAGCTGTTAGTTTTTATCATCATAGTAGCAACAATTTCCATTTTGCACCGTATTAAATTTAGTTGTGAATATTTTTTACTTCATTATGTGGAAGTGACATTTTCATAATTTATTGAAACTTTCAAGTTCGAAAAAATCGTAAAACTAAGTAGTGTGAAATAATTCCTAGCAAGATTAAACATCTCACTTTCTGGGTGATTGGCTGATTTCGATTTCACTTTAACGATCGAAGAGTGTGTCGACCTGTGATGAAACGCAGTGTAGCGGACCCCCGAGCGCCCCGGTATCACAAAAGGGTGATGAGGTCACAAGAGGCCCGCTAACATTTTCGAAGACGTTAAATCTGACAAGGTGTAACAATATAGACGACAGAACGAGGATATATATGATATATGTTAATTTATTTTAGAAAAAGGTGGTCAGAACGGTAGAGGTGCAGAAGTTCTAGTGCAGGCATTGATGGTCGAGGTTGGTCGCTACAGGTGATCGCTGTTGGTCATGCAGGTGGTCGCTGCAGAGATGATCGCTGTAGTTGATGTTGCCGGGATGATCGCTGTTGGTTGTTGCAGTTGGTCGTGGCCGGGATGCCAACTTGTACGTCTTGGGAAGGAAAGAAGAGCTGGCGTTGTTCGGGCATGTCAAAGGTCTTGTGCAGGCGTTGCGTGTTTGCCGGTCGAGTCCGATATTAGTAACCTCCCGTAATAATTACTAACATAGTGTACGGGAAAGGTTAAGGACGACATGCAGGCAGCCAGTAGGGACGGAATGCCGAGCGTCGAACAGGGCCAAGGAGCCAGGAGTAGTAGGCGAAGGAGAGAGAGAAAGGAAAGTTTTCCAACTATCGTCAAGTTGGCAGACAAAAAAAAATGGGATCGTAACTTAATACGCAGCCCGGTGGTCGACGTTTCTGGCCTGAGGCCAGGGGCCTGCATATCCGACCGTTTCAGTCGCCGAGGTATTTACCCGACTCCCACAGGGTCAGGATGTGACACAAGGTCGGTTTAACGTGGGAGACCCGAGTGTTTCCACTCAAAGGGCCAAAAGGTACAAAACTGGTCTTAGCATGTCCAAGCTGGTCAGAGCTTAGTCAACGCTGGTCATGGCTTGTCTTAGCTAGTCCAGGCCGAAGCCAGTCCAAACTAGTCGTAGCCGTGATCGAATCTCAGCCAAAAGCCGTGAAACGATCCTTATTTGTCAAAACTGGGCGAAATCCGCCAAAGCGGAAGTCGACGACCCCGAATTTAGTGAGAAGTCACTGTCTTATGGTAAGGGAGACCAGCAAGAGAATTGGCGGCTAATACAGGAAAGTCTCTATAAAAAAATAAGTCGAGGTTAGCTAAAGGGAACTAAGGCCTAAAAATGTCTAGAAGTATATTACAACTAGGTTTGTAATATAACTTAACTAAAAAGGGAACTTGCTAGTCTCTACCACATGTTTACAGCGTATAGGGAGCACAACCGAGAGGTCAAGGTCGAAATGATCTGTTCTCTTAGTTTAAGGAGCGAAGGAGGAGGTAACTCCGACAGCAGCATAAGACAAAAAATCTCGTTGAAAATTAGTAATAACCGTATTTAATATTAAAAAATTAAATTCCTGTGACTGAACCTTTCTCTGAGTTCCATTGAAACTGACAAATGTTTAAAATTATCTCCAACTTTTTGAAATCAATTATTTGAATAAATATTCACTTGTTTATCACGAATAAATCACCGTATGGGTTAGTGGGGAGTGTGGTGACTAGAACAGCGGGAGTTAGAGGCGTAAATAAAAAAGTACCCTTCATTCCAAATAATGTCGAAAAAACCGGAAACGAAAAATTTACTAAGTTTAGTTTGGCATAAGGGTAAAATAGTTTAACATCCAATAAGGATGGAATCCTTGCAAAATTAGGTGATCAGTAAAACTAGCATGTTAACTCTACGGCAAGTGCCCAGAAATTTGAAATCCAGTTCATTTTTCAATCAGCTGAAAGGGAGGAAAATCCGCTTTACGTTCTGCCAATTTTTGGATTGAATCGTTGATGTATTGAATCGTTGATGTATTGAATTTGTAATCTGTGGGTAACGAGTTCGAATATCACTGACGTAACCCTGTTTTAAACTTGACCTTGCAAATGTTCAATGATAGAAATTGTCCATAAAGAAAACAAAACATTGCAAAATAAAATTTGCATTCATTTTACTGAACTTCATTTTCTATGGGGCATCCCCAATAGCTTGGCAACAGTTTTAGCGATTTAGCATGAGTCATTTCAGAAACTTATTAACATTTCTGAAAATATTATCTAAGAACGCGAAAGAAATTTAATAGTAAAAATATGACAGCTACTATTTCCAAAATATTGCTGCTATTATTTCGGAGTCATATTTAACATGATTTCAATGAATGACGATTAGAGTGAAAGTATGTACCCGTTTTCGGAACATAATATAATTTTTCTTTTTTAGGGATACACTGCATTCTTTTCCCTATCAACTGTCATGACAGGATGACTCGCGATGGCACAGGAAGCTTGAAGTCATCCATTGCAAAATAAAATCAGTAAAACAGCATGGCGATTAGAATTTTCTGTCTTCTGGGTGACGAGAAACTATCTGAAATGGAGCGTTTGTTTCATCGATCTCGGCTTTTCTACTTCCGTTTGAATTAAATCAGTCCTCTATATCTGTACCGGGGAATTTCCGAGATGCAATTCTTAACAGCTATTCAAATCATCAATTTGAATGAAAATAAGGGCATGAAAAGAAAAAGGCTACATTGCTTCTTGTTGCGATGAAATGTATTGCAGGAAATAAATCCACACTTTTCATTTAGTACACGAACACCGCAGATTTTTAAAACGAGCGAAGAAAAGGTTCAGGCGACAGCGTCAGAAATCTGCGGGATTCGAAGGCAGCCGTCCGTAAAAACTTACAGGTATCCACGTAACCAACTGTGATCGATATATTAGCACCAGAGAATTTAGGGAAGTAGCGGTCAGGTAAATTGGGAGAGAGACGAAGAAAAAGAATAAAGAGGAGAAGGACGAGGAAGTGGAGGAGAGTGGGTCAGTTGGTTGATAGATGTGTTGGCTGGTATGAAGGTTATGTAGTAGATAGACAAGTAAAGAAAAGTGAGTGTAGCAAGCAACAACCCAGTGCACACAGCAGAACCAGTAGATCGTCTCCTGAGAAGTAGATTGAAAAAGAGAAGACGCGCTAACGTTGTGTAGAAGGGAAAACAAAACCAAACCGATTCACTTGTTTGCGCGTGTGTGTGTGCGTTTGCTGTGTGTATTTGTGTGTGTGCTTGGCTTTCGCCGAGCGCATTTAATCTGACAAAGAAGAGAACGTGACAATTTTTGACCAGTGTCCTGAGCGAACTCGCATTAGACTCGGGTATAACTTGGAATTTTTTTAAAAACCTTATTACATTACTCAAGAGGAATATCTAGCCAAGTTACACAATGTTTACCCAAACTGAACTGTACAAGTCAATATGTAAGGGGGACCCAGATGCGGTGTTTAAGGCTTTGAATTATTATTGTCCCTATTCCGGCGTGATGACCGGCGAGGATCTGAATATCCGAGATACCGTAACAGGAGGGACATATTTACATTTGATCATGCAAAAAGCAGAATTGTTTAAAGATCCACCAACTGTCACTGTTATCTACGGCATGGCGTGCATGGGAATCGAAGTGGACGCCAAAGACGATGACGGTAACACTTGTCTTCATCTGGTCGTAAAGAAAGAAGGAGCCTACCGGATACTTATTGCTCTTATGAGGTAAGTTTCACTTTCAAATCTTCAAACAATCCCACAAAATTCACTTGGAGGGATTGTGAAGGTTTTAATAATTTCTTTTGAGTTCAGGGAATATTTTAAATTCACAGCTTGTTTACAGTGGAAAAAAAACATCTAAAGTGGAGAATACTTTGGTGAATTGAACTTTAAACGATAAATTCATTTTGCTTAAAAGTGTTCTTATGGTGTGCGTGTGTGTGTGTGTGTGTGTTTGTGTGATGATGGTATATTTTCTGCATTTTAGGAATATCAAAAATTTAATCCAAATAAGCATTTGCAATCTTGATTGTATCTCCGCATTTTTCTGTAAAAAATTGTGTAAGGGTAAAAAAAGAAAAGAAAAACAATAAAAAGACCAGCTATTTTCTTTGTTTATGGATGGATGGATTGGGTAAAAAAAAAAAAATCCTTATTCTGACAAAATAATAATAATTATTTCCAATAATCAAATCAAATTGTTTGAAAGGAACTATATTGGAATAATGAAACTAAATAAATAAAGCGAATGTTTTCTTTTTCGCTCTGGAAGCAAAGAGCTTATACGTAAGACAATCACACTCATTCAGATGGTTCAAGTTTTGTGTGGAGGAAGTAAGTTTCGCGACCAAAATTCAGTTAGTTAATATTCATTAATCACTGACAAATTAATGAACTTTTAAAAATTTGGATGAAAATTTCATGTTTTCTGTATTTGCATAGGATTTCTGTAATTGAAATTTCCTTTATGATGAACAAATAGAGAAAATTGGCGCTATTTTCATTTGTCTCAGCTACATTGAATATTTTGTGACAAGTATAAGACTGGAAATTTTTTTTCGAAAACCAGTCGAAGATTATGAAAAAAAAGTACAAGTTATTAATCGTCATGTACAAAAAAAGTAGCAAAAAGTGCTAAGATGTTTTTTAAAACCAGCCATTATCGTCGTGAAGTTTCCATGTGACACTTTCACAAAACACATATTTTACTCTATCAGTAAAGGACAAGCAAAAAACCTTTCTAACTGACGAAATCCATGAGAGAATGTTGATATATGAGTGCATGTTGATTTATGAATAAATTTAAATAAAGTAGAAGTTTTTCGTTGGTCAAAAAAAAAAAAAAAAAATTAAAATGAAAATGATAATTAAAACAAACCAAAATTTTGAATGAAATCCAATAAAATATTCAAGTAAAGAAGAAATAACACATTCGGTTAATTTCTAATGAAATAGATAATTCATAAGGCGCCATAAAATTGAACAATTCCTGAAAATACACTATCAATTTTTACAATATAATGTTTTCACAATAAAATTGGTTAATAGCAATTTTATCGTGGAAACAATAAATGTTAGTAAAATACTTATATTTATATTCGAAATATATTGTGTGAGTTTCAACTTATAATAACCTTCGTTATTACAAATGTTGATAACTTGTTTCGGTGATATCAGGTTTTATTAAACAAATTAAATGCGACATAGATATTTATAAATGAATCCTAAATATATAGGCTACAAAAACCTATAATGGATTAACAGAACATTCAATATTTCTCAACAAATTATGATATAATATTTTATATAATAGGGGCTCCTTGACATTCTAGTAACCTTCATCATTTGTTAACTTTTGTTTCGAATTTAACATTACTTGTAGCAGTTTTTGGACGACAATCTTTTATTGGATTAATATCTGAAGAGGCTGGGGGGCATTTCATAAATTTTGTGTCTTTAATGCTATTTTTGGTAAGGTTTGTAATAATAAGCCATGCAGAATTTGAAGGATCATTGTTTTATCTGTTTGTATTATTAAATGACTTAATGTTTGTTGGTTGGGACCTGTACCACTCAAAAAATGTCTTGTTCAAGAACTTACAATAATTCACCGTATTTATCTTGACACGGTCATCAACATTGAAGGGATCTATAATTTTGCCCCAAATTGTCTTCTGAGTTTTACTGACTATTTCCATAAAACGATCCAACCTCTATCCCAGCTATAAGCTCTATTCAATATCACTATACAGTCACCACTAAAAATTAATGTTGAGACATCAATTTTCATGTACTTCTTCGCCCAACTTACAATTTTTGTGATGCATATTTAAAATGATACTTTCCTGCCTTTAGCCCAGTCTTAAAATTCTGTATCTTTTCTACTTAGATACGTAACACCATCTTTAAATATTTTTTACTGGACAATCCAATTTTCTTACCTTTGTAATTTTTCATCAAAACTTTTCCCTGATATTTTCAACGACAGTTTTTGTTTTATCATATCTCTTTTCCCATTAAAAATTTTTTTTTCCATTTTCTCTGTTCAACTTTTTCACTATTTCCAATAGTGTATTCTTATCACTAACTCTGCAAAATATTGTTTGTCTTTCAAGCTTATATCTTTGTTACCGACCATTGCAATCTTCATCTATCTGAAATAAAAAAGAAAATATCAATAATTATACACTTATACATATTTATTAACAATATGATGAACAATTTCCGAGTTGCATACGATAATCTCATACCAGCAAAAAATTATTGTAAATATTTCTAAGAAATATAAGTACTACAAAATGGAAAATACATTGTTGGTTATTCGTATAAATAAAAGAATATAAAAGAATAAAGTCTGAATTGTTAAAAAGGGAACAAAATCAGAAGTTCTTTGCAACTGGAGATGTTTTTATTCTACAGGGTATTCCAAAAGTCGCATTACCATTGATAACCTTGTAAAATTTATATTTTATTTACCAAATGGAATCATGTTTCTGTATGTGACAATATATTATTAAGAAGTTTTATTAGTCGAATTATAGAAGATGATGTCATGCAAATTTTCTCTAGTTGATATTTCACAAGTGTATGTTTTTTGCTAGTTGTCGCGTGACGTTTGGAACACCCTGTACAACTGAATGAATATATGCTTGAGATTTGTAGAATTTAGATTGGCCTGCTGCGATTGGCACAGTGAAAATTTTTAAAATAACACAATAATTGCAAATGACATTACTGATATTAGTAGTGACCCTATTTGCTCAAACACTGATTATAACAGGCTCCACCAATCCGGTACATAGGAATTATTGTGCAATGATGAGTACGTGTATTAATTAGTTGTCAGTAGATAATCGAAAGAATGTAGAAATTGTCAGGCTTTGATCTACCCAATTTCACTCACAAGGCTTGTGGCAACCCGTAATATGGTTTTCATACATACATACATACATACACACTTACATACATACATACATACACTCTCTGTTTCTCTCACCTTCTACATATATATATATATATATATATATATATATATATATATATATATATATATATATACAGACATACACAAATTCAAAATATCGGATACACAACTAGAAGCTCTTAGCTTCGGTCTAAAATTTGCTAACAGATTGCCGAAAATCATACTACAGATTTCTTGATTAAAAACTACCAACGCAATAACTCTGGTTTCATCAAAGGATATACCCAGGGTCTAATTAAAGTCACACAAATGAAACACACTTCCATGTAGATATATAAAATCCCTGGAAAAATATCAAACAACAAAAACATTCATATATCCACTTTCACCTTCAATAACAATTGTTATAGACAAAAATTTGGTTCACTGGTGGCGTTTTGGCTATTGGAATTTCTGGAGAAAGGTCCTTTCAAAATATTTTAGCACAAAATTCTTCTTATTGCAGATATATAAATGATTCTTTACTAATATATCCACAAAAAGCAAAATAACGTCGAACCTAAAACAGACTTTGCCTTTGAATCTGAGTCTAACAACACTTTACCCTTTCTAAATATCATGCTGTACAGAAATAATAACGACCTTCTGTTTGAGGTTTACAGAAAAGTTACCAACAAAAATGACCTGTTCAATTTTACTCCCATGACCGTAACAAGATCAAATCAGGAATAATTATATGATTCTATTTAAGAGCACTATCTGTAGCCCTCAGCACTTACCCAAAGAAGGAATATACATACAAAACACTTTCAAAAACCTTCAATATCCTTATTATTTTATCACAATGCTAAGAGAAAGCCGTATAAAATATACGACCGCCAAAAAGGTAACAACATTATTAACAACAATAAACTAGGTAAAAACAATTACATAATATTACTCACTAACTCCATAACATCCTGTATCCAAAAACAAGTTATCCAATCTAAGCAACATCAAAGAAATTGCAATCACTCCCAAAGCTATGATGGATATGATAATAACCAAAAATAACAATAACAATATGAAGCAGGTATATATAAAATAAATTTCCAGAATTGCTCCTCACAATACATTGGGGAAACTTGCAGAAATTAAAAAAATGTATCTATGAACACAAAAGGAATATTATATACAACAATTTATCAGCTGTATTAGGTATACATAAAATAAATCTAACCACAACTTTGATCTAAAAAATACTATAAGTATTAAAAGAGAAAGAAACTTACTTAGAAGCAAAATTCTCGAGAGTGCCGCTATCGAATCTTATTAAAATATAAATCTGCGTCCCGGATTTTTTCCAATATCTCTATTCTTGAAAGAAATACTATTTTCCCAAGCCAACATAGATGGCTATAAAAATGTTAAGAAAATGGTTATATAAATAACCTCATGTTATTTAAAATATATAATATATAAATTAATTCCAAAGTAAAATAATTTAATTACTAATTTGCATTAAACATCACTTACTTCCGTTTATTAGACATTGAATTATGTCTTCCATGACTTGCCTGTTTTTTCAACCAATCTGATTTATATTTGAGGTTTTTAATTTAAAATGTTTGAAAAATCAATAACGTTTTTGTTCTTGTATAGAAAAACTTGTTACAAAATAAAATCCTTTCATTTGCCTTGATTTGGAAGTTCTATATATATTTTGAGAATATTATACTATTTGTATATTTTTATTGTTAAATGATGTTTCATATAGGTAGTTCTTTGTTTCCGGGGAAATTTTGTATTTCTTAGATATTTT